GTTTTATGTTTGGGTTGGAAAAGCATGTCCTAAACTATTTATATCCGTTGTATTTATTTAACTCGTATAAGCTTGGTTGCTATATTTAGCATATTGTGAGTATTCACGCACTCCCCTATTTTCAGTTTTATGTTTTTGGGGTGAAAAGCATGTCCAGAAAAACTATTGTTTGCATGTTGTACTTAAATTGAATTGTATCAAACATGATTGCTATTGTATTGCTATGTTTCTTTATGTATGTCTATGCAACACGGAACATGAGAACTTATCGTACAAAGGCCCTTCCCTTATCTCTAACCATTAACTCTTTGAGCCAATGGTCGTTATGGATAGCGCTATTAGGAATTGACAACTCCTCACTCGCCCGAATCGCTGGAGTGCATGATACCATATTCATCTATGGAACGATAAGCATAGATCTCGATAGGGCTTCAGTCATAGGTTTGGTTGAGACTCATTGTTTGCTCATACACATACAAACTCGTTTCTCGTTATAGCAATAAACTTGTATTCATTAATAGCAATCAACTTGTTTATCATTGAAGCAATGTACTTGTATTTACGAAAAGCCTTATTGTACGCTCGATTTTATAAACTTGTGATACTCACCAACTATTTTCATAGTTGACGCTCGTTTTACATGCTTTTTCAGGAAATAATTAGTAAGTGGATGTAAAGATTCATCATCATAGAGCATGCTGCATCGTGTTGAAGCTATTATGAAGCTATATTTTGAACAATGTTATTTTGAAAAACTTGTATTTTGTTCTTTTGAAGCTATGGGTTGTAAACTTTTAAATACTGCTATGGTGATGTATCTTTATCTTTTGCAATTGAAACCGTTATCGCTGTCATACCTTGCGTTTCCGCTTTAGCGGGGTGTGACAGAAGTGGTATCAGAGCTAAAGTTATAGAGAACATCGGTTTTTCTTTAAGAAAACACACACCTATAACTAAAACTTACAAAGAAATTCTTTTACATCAAACATATTACTAGTATAATTAGGTCGGGAGTTGTATTATTGGACCTTGATTAAACATAGCCTGATCACCTATGTTTAATTAAGAAAAGATTTATACAAAGCTTGAGCTAATTATAATGGGAATATGTTCAACAAAAATATTTGAGAAAACTTATTTAAAATTTCAAAAGGTTAATTTTGGTGTGTGTAAGCATTGCATATTATAGGCATGCATTGTCATTTATTTCATATCTCATTGAAACTATGTCACAGTCCACTATGTCAACATCGTCATCTTCCCGCGCTACGCCTCAGCCGATGAATCCGGCTACGTCACTGTTATCCCTCGACGTAATCCCCCCGCCTCGGTAGAAGAAGACCCATCAGAGGATACGGAAGATACTGGAACTCGGTGGAGATCAGCAATGACAACGCCCCGAGTCAACGACGCGAGGCATCACCGACATCGTGTTGCCACAGCCACCGCTCTATGGACTTCGCATTCAGGACAGCGAGGAAGAGTGTCCCCATTCCAGGAAGGATACCGCCAGCACAGCAGGACATGGCACGGCAGGACCTAGCGGGTAGACCAGCGATGCAGGACCAAGAGCATCCTCACCTCAGCAAGTCATAGGGATACCTGTCCGACAGCCAGGTATGACCCGGAGGAGTCCCGGAGATTGCAGTCGATAGCAGCGGCCTACGTCACAGTCTCGCTGCGATAGCTGGGCATCGAGAAGTTTTGGATGAAGTCTTGGCAGGAATGGAAATCCTGTATCAGCATTCGATGGAGACTGCTGACACTGCTAGTGCTGCTTAGACGAGAGGCAGGTCATGCGATGACAGCATATTATATGTTTGGTTGGCTATTATTGATTGTGATGTGATAAGGATGGGAGCATTGACAATGGAAAGCTCTAGTAGCAAGAGGAAGCCAGCAGATCAGGGAGAGAAGAAGTATGGAGGCAAGTCAGGGAGGAAGCAGAAAGTCTCAAGAAACTTTATGGTAAGAGCCCAGGAGCAAGAACCAGTGAAAACTCAAGGACAAGAAGTGCAGGAGCGAAAGCAGTACTCAGGGCCGCTTCCGAAGTGCAATAAGTGTAACTTCCATCACAAGGGAGCTTGCCCGGTGTGCCAAAACTGTAAGCAAACAGGCCATTACTCGAAGTATTGTAAGGTGAATAAGGAGGGAAAAAGGACATGTTACGAGTGCGGGAGTATGATCATCTCCGTAGAGCATGTCCTAAACTGAACAATGGACCTGGTAACCATGGACAAGGCCAAGCCAGGCAAAACTTTCAAGGAAATCAAGTTAGACAACCAAGAGGTGTAGCCTTTGTGATTGGTGCAGAAGAAGCTCGTCAGAACCCTGAAGTGATAACAGGTACGTTCCTCCTGAACAACCACTTTGCATCAGTAATATTCGATGCGGGAGCAGATAGGAGTTTTGTTTCTTTAGCATTTAGACGTTAATTGGCTTGAAATCGGTAAAGATGAGGATTGCATATGCTATTGAACTTGCTGATGGGTATGAAATTAGGGCTAGTGATATAATTCCTGGTTGTACTCTGAATTTAGCTGATAAACTCTTTAGCATTGACCTAATTCCTATAGAGCTAGGTAGTTTTGATGTGATAGTAGGGATGGATTGGTTATCCAAAAATAGAGCAGACATTGGTTGTTATGAGAAAGTCATCAGAGTGCCTCTCCCTAATGGAGAAACCCTTATCATACACGGTGAGAAGCCAGGAAGAAGTTTAAACATAGTATCAAGCGTGAAGGTTCACAAGTACCTGAAGAAGAATTGTATTGCATTCATGGCCCACGTGCTAGAAAGAGAACCTGAAGCTAAGCAACTCAAGGAGATTCCAGTGGTTCAAAACTATCCCGAAGTATTTCCGGAGGAATTGCCCGGTCTACCCCCTTATAGACAGGTCGAATTTCGGATAGACTTAGTTCCCGGAGCGGCACCGGTAGCAAAAGCACCATATCGCCTTGCACCATCCGAGATGCAAGAACTATCCGGACAACTTCAAGAACTTCTAGACAAAGGGTTTATTCGACCAAGTTCTTCACCTTGGGGAGCCCCAGTGTTATTCGTCAAAAAGAAAGATGGTTCGTTCCGAATGTGCATTGATTACAGAGAATTGAACAAGTTGACAATCAAGAATCGATATCCCTCCCTAGAATAGATGACTTGTTCGATCAGTTGCAGGGCGCTTCCTACTTCTCAAAAATCGACCTTCGGTCAGGGTATCATCAGCTAAGAATTCACGAAGAGGACATTCACAAGACAGCGTTTAGAACCGTTATGGACATTATGAATTCTTAGTCATGCCTTTTGGACTAACGAACGCACCCGCTGTATTCATGGATTTGATGAATAGGGTCTGTAGACCATACCTAGACAGGTTTATAATTGTCTTTATCGATGACATACTTGTTTACTCGCGGACCAAAGAAGATCACAATAGACATCTAAAGCTAGTGTTGGAGCTGTTGAAGGAACAAAATTGTATGCCAAGTTCACTAAGTGTGAATTTTGGATTCGGGAAGTACATTTTCTTGGTCATGTGATCGGTGAAAGAGGAATCCATGTAGATCCAGCTAAGATAGAGGCAATCAAGAAATGGGAGGCCCCAAAACCCCGACAGAAATACGACAATTCCTAGGATTAGCTGGGTACTACAGACGCTTCATTGAGAATTTCTCTAGGATTGCTCAACCATTAACATCTTTGACCCAAAAGGATAGAAAATTTCTCTGGGAAGAGAAACACGAAGAGGCGTTTCAAATCCTGAAAAACAAGCTGTGCAATGCACCAATTCTGGCTTTACCAGAAGGATCAGAGAACTTTGTGGTGTATTGTGATGCGTCTCATCAAGGATTAGGATGTGTGCTAATGCAAAAGATAGGGTCATTGCATATGCTTCCAGACAACTCAAACCGCACGAGAAGAATTATACCACCCATGATCTAGAACTAGGAGCAATAGTTTTCGCCCTTAAGATATGGAGGCATTATTTGTACGGAACCAAATGCACCATTTATACCGATCACAAAAGCCTTCAGCATATCCTGGATCAGAAAATGTTAAACATGCGGCAGAGAAGATGGGTAGAGTTGTTTAGTGATTATGATTGTGAGATACGATACCACCCAGGAAAGGCTAACGTAGTAGCCGACGCTCTTAGTAGGAAAGTAAGAGTGAAACCTTCCCGTGTGAGAGCTTTGGGAATGGTAATTCAGACAAGCTTGAAATCTCAAATCATTAATGCCCAGGAGAAAGCGTTATGCAAGGAAAATCTTCCAGGCGAAACTTTACATGGTTTGGAAGAAAGATTTGAAACCAAACCTGATGGAGTTCGTTATTTTAAAGACAGGGTCTGGATTCCAAGGGTTAACAACCTGAGAGACATGGTATTAGAAGAGTCTCATCGATCTAAATACTCCATCCACCCTGGAGCAGATAAGATGTACAAGGATCTTAAAGAGTACTATTGGTGGCCTGGAATGAAAAAGGATATTGCCTTGTACGTCGGGAAGTGTTTGACATGCTCAATAGTCAAAGCTGAACATCAGAAACCTTCCGGGTTGTTGCAACAACCTGAAATTCCCCAATGGAAATGGGAGCAAATATCTATGGATTTCGTTACCAAACTCCCTAGAACTGCTAGAGGTCACGACTCAATTTGGGTCATAGTGGATCGACTGACGAAATCCGCTCACTTTCTCCCTATTCGAGAAGATTTCAAGATGGAAAAATTGGCCCAAATCTACATCGACAAAATTGTTTCTCTGCATGGTGTACCCCTATCTATCATTTCTGATAGAGATAGTCGTTTTACATCTCGATTTTGGTGGATGTTACAGAGGGCACTAGGAACCAAGATAGAT